GCAGGAATTTCAAAATTTCAACCCTGTTTATGTGAAATATTTTATTTTTGTCAGTATTTTTCTTTTAATCAATCTATGTTGAAATAAAAGTTTATTGTATGTAATCTATGCATTTTTATTGTTCGAAATGTATAATAAATATAAATTTTACGTTTCTTAGCCGACATAATGATTTTTTTGTGGGTAAATTGTCGATTTTTCGCGAATGATTTCGGCAACGCTATCGTAGGCTTTGGCAGCTATTGTTCTGTATAATGGTGACAATAAATAAATAAAAATACAAATACATTTTTAGATTCTCAAGCCAACCGGGCATTTCTCAATGAATCTTGGTAATAATAACTAAGCCTTTTCGTCAGTGTATATACAAGAGTTTATATGAAATATTTATTTGTCAGTGTTATTAAACAAAGTTGTGTTGTCGTATTCTCCAGCAAAAAATATCCAGTAACTTGCCAGTAACCAAATTTCGGAGAGCAATTTACTCCCAATGAGTAAAATATGCAAGAAAGTACGAAAACGCAAAACCAGCAAGAAGTTGCTAGTTTTATGAACAGCTGATTAATTTTTTATTTTCCAATGAAATTTTCTTAGAAAACTAGTACTTTCCATCTTATTATATATTTAAATACGTTTATTTTATCAATTGCAACTCTAAAAGCACCAAAAAACAATTATTTTGTTAATGTGAATTACATTAAGCATCATGCCATCAGCGGTTTTTCTTACTAGCAAATAATTGCTAGTAAAAATTTATCCAGTAAAAATCCAGTAAAACTTGCAAGTTCATCTGTCAATTTCCCCTCTTTTGCTAGTTTCTTGCAAGTTTTTGCGTACGAAAACGACATCCAGTAAAAAACCAGTAAAATTTGTACTGGATTTACTGGATAGTGCGTACGCGAACAGGGCTATAGATACATGCATATACATATTTGCATATACATACATGTAAAAATACACTCAATCAATTCAGGCGACGTGCATTACAAATATCTGATGGCATCGAACATATGGGCAATATTCGCTGGGAATTGGCCGGTACGTTGTTATTGGTATGGATATTGTGTTACTTCTGCATTTGGAAAGGCGTCAAATGGACAGGAAAAGTTGTTTATTTTACCGCACTGTTTCCATATGTACTACTAACTATACTTCTTATTCGAGGCATAACCCTGCCTGGAGCCTTTGAAGGGATAAAATTCTACGTGATACCACATTTTTCGAAACTTACTGAGTCAGAAGTATGCAATGATAAGTACATATGTATGTTGGTCACATTCTTAACTGTTTTATTATTATAAAAGGTATGGATCGATGCAGTGACTCAAATTTTCTTCTCATATGGACTTGGTCTTGGGACACTAGTTGCACTGGGAAGTTATAATAAATTTACAAACAACGTATACAAGTAAGCTTCATAATTTGTATATAAATATGATGTAAGCACGGATTCTCAATGTTTTCAGAGACGCTTTAATTGTATGTACAGTCAACTCAAGTACCAGCATGTTTGCAGGATTTGTGATATTCTCAGTGGTGGGTTTTATGGCGCACGAACAACAGAGGCCGGTTGCGGAAGTGGCTGCATCTGGTAAGATTAAAAAAATTGGAGTATTCACAACGGTATAGTAAGTGTCGTATTGTAGTATGTCGTAAACTTTAAACACTTAAAAAATTTATTAAGGGATTCGCAAGGTACCATCAAATTCATATTAGGCATTTTCGCAGTGTTAAAAGATAGTTGGTTGTGGTTTGAAGTTCTCTAACCATTTATGTAAGCTTTTAGGGTTTACGACATGCAACAATATGACACTTACGATACCGTTGTGAATTCCTCAAATATATATATTCGATTATTATTTTAGTACTTTTTATTATATTTTCCCCAAAACAATTCATTGCATTAAATAATAATGCAAAACCATTTACGCAACCCCTTCGATTTTATGTTTGCCTGTTCTGTAGTGACATTGGCAGTGGTAAGGTTGCCAGATTTTGTATGCGCGAAATCAGTACGTTGAACTCTTTCATGTTAAAAAAGTCAGTACTTTTCAGTACATTTTTATTCAAAGCAAAATTGTGAATGTAAGTATCAGATAATACTTTAAAACGTCAGAGTTGTTGTTTTTAACAATATTTTGGTATATAAATTAAATATAGTTCATAAAATATAAAAGTGTTATTCATTTTAACATGAGTGTACACATCACTGTACATAGAAGCCAATAAATTATTTTATATTTATGACATTTTTGAATAGCAATAATGAGATCAGTTTAATCTTCAGTCTTTAAATAGTCAAAGAATTGTATACATTTCATTTTAAAATTACTTTTAATATAGGGATTTTGAAACGGAGAAAGGAGTACATTTATATTTTCGATAGAAAAAAAGCAGTACATGACATAAAAAAGGAGTACAATTTTTTTTTAAATTTTTTGTGCAATTTATTGTTACAAATTACCATTAATTCGGTTCAAACAAACAAAGATATCTTAGATATCTTTTTCAAAGCAACAGTAAATGTGAAAAATAAATAACTACATGGGTTGGCTTTCCAATAGCGACGGTTGTTAAAGAGATGGTGATCGAAGGGGAGTGGACGTGGCACCTTTTTCCGACCTTTTTGAAGAGGGCATGAACCGCCATTGACAAAAATGTTACCCCGACCACCTAGGGCCCTATGGTTCCCCAGGGACCCCTTAGAAAAATTGCCAAAAGTCACAATATCCACTTGCGTCCACAGTATTTTTGCGTAGAATTCGGTTTTCAATGACCGCCCTTATAGGAAAGTTTCCCCAACTAAAAAACTAAAAACTACAAAAGAATTCCAGACTCTTCCTGAATGTATGGCCATTTTTTTTATTTAAGCCTTATAATGAATTTAATATTTTTCTGATTTTTATACCCGAGCGACCTGCACCTAAGGCCATGCTTACACCTTTTCACTATCCCACTTAACTTTGCTTACTAAGTAGTGTTTGTTACAATATGAATGGCAAAGTACAGTGCGTAAAATAATAAATAATAACTGTCGCACAGGTTTTTTGAAAAATAAAAGGGTTCTTTATAGATTTTGTGTTTTTTTTTGTTAACTTTGTAAATATTTTACTTTAATTTTATTAATTGGTTTTAAAATTTTAATCCTGATTTGCATTTGCCAGCTTTGGGAGATAAGTACATGCGGCACGAACCTCTTTTTCAGTAGTATTTTTTCTTAGATTTTGTATAAAAAGAAGAAAAAAAAACCTGTATAGGGTTGGTCGAATGAATACCCTCCTAGTCACCAGTTTTGAGTCTTTTCGATTGCTGAGTATAAGGCCTTATGTTGGACAAGAGACGGAGTATAAAGGACCCAAATAGGGGAAATTAGCCTATGGTTACAGAAGATATGTTATAAAGTAACCGACGAAGACTTGCGCTTTTCTCCCAAACCCCCTGGTAAACCCAAATGAAGGTTAAATTTAAAGACTAAACAATAACTACTTTTTTTACTTGCGCTTTTCTCTCAAAGTGTTTACAGATATTATTTTACACCCTGTATATGATAAAATATAAATAGCTGGAAAAAGGAGTACAAAAGAAGTACAAAGCTAATAAAGGAGTACATTTCCAGATATTTTTTTTGGGAGTACAAGGAAGTACATTGCAATAAAAAGGAGTACGTTTACTCCCATAAGCAGTACGTCTGGCAACCCTATTTTAATATGAATTTTTAATTAGAAGCAGGTTTCTCGCTTTATATTTAAGATCCTCTCAATTGCTTTGTTTGTGTGTGGTATTGAAAAAAAAACAAAATTACATATTTTTCAAACTGTGGAAAAGTACCACTATTTAAGGACTTCCTCTATACAGCGTGGCGACGAACACCTGTTACCTAGGTTTTTTTGAGAAATAGGAGGGCAATTTATATATTTGGCGAAAAAGGTATTTTATTGTTAATTTTCCACAGATTTAACTTTAGTTATATTAATTAGTTTTTAAATTTTAATCCTTATTTACATTTGCCAGCAGTGTAAACTTTGAGAGAAAAGTTCATTTGGCACGCACATATGTAAATAAGGATTAAAATTGAATAACTAATTAATACAACTAAAGTAAAATCTGTGGAAAATTAACAATAAAACACTTTTTTCGCAAAATCTATAAAGGACCCTTTTATTTCTTAAAAAAAAACGGGGTAACAGTTATTCGTCGCCACGCTGTAATTCCTCATGGCTTAGATGAATTTTTTCAACTACGCAATAACTTTGAAAGACTAAGAATTCGCTAAAAAGAGTATCTTACTATATATCTTGTATGCAAAACTCTTTTACAATGTCAGTAAATTGTAAAAAAAAAAGAATTTTAAGTTATAGGCAAAAGGCATTCGAATATTCAAATTTGTTGTTATAAAACTGAAACTTATTTTCGAGATACCTAGCAACACTCGACAAAAAACGTCAGCCTTCTTTTTAAATAATTTATCCATCATATTATCGCAACTGGTGCGTAACCACCCGGCGATATGCCCATAAAACGATTGATCTTTTTTTGTATTAATTTCCTGGTCATATCAAACATTATCTGAAACATGTCTACTATAATTAAATTATTTTTTCTTAGTTTTGACTACCATCGATTTTGGCATTTTTGGCTACATAAGATGTAATGTTTTCAGCAGTAACTGTAGATTTGAGACTATAAGTGATCAATTCAAGATATTCAAATCCACTGTGCAGGAGATTGCGTGTTTGTCACGGCTGGGGAGCGTAAAGAACCAAAAGTAGGTGGATAACGCAAATTACTAACGTTAGCAGCAGCAGTCGGAGCAGCAACAGCGGAAACAGTAGCGCCAACAGAAGTGTTAGAAGCAGCAGTAAAAGAGAGAGAGTCATTACTTGAAGTTGTCGATGATGTTGACGTGCAAGCATATGGAGCCATAGAGTTCGAATCAAAGGCAGCAGCAGATCTAATAGCAGCAGCGGCATAAAATAGCGAGCCTTTAGTTGAGGTGGACGATGATGTTGACGTGCAAACAGATGCAGCCAAAGAGTGCGAATCTATGGCAACGACATCAGCAGAGTTAGCAGGAGAACTTATTACAATAACGCTCTTCGAATTTTTGTCGACTTTTTGGAGATTAAAGCAAGAACGCTCGTTGTGATAGCTAGCATTGACATAGCCGAGAGCAACTCATCAAATTAAAGCTTGCTTTGCGGAGTGCGAACTTCGGCTTTCAGCGATTCAGTTTGTATGGCGAGTGACGTATTATCTTCGCACATAGAATTAACAATACCAATAATACCGACGTTTTCTTCTCTAAGAGCGGTGATGTCATTTAGCGCCAATTGTAGAGTTTTTGCTTGTTGAGATTTGTGTTCCTTCAAGATTTTTATTAGCTCTTCTTGGACAATTTCAATGCCAGCAGAAGCAGTTGAGTGTGCATGTTGGTGAAGTGGTGGAAGAGTAGGGAAGTTGTTGGTGATTCTATGGAAGTTGAGCTGATTGTCTGCTGAGACATTGTTATCTGCATTTGATTCGCTCAAATCGATGAGAGGTGGAGGCGTGCGAAGGGAGTCACGGCGAGCAGACGTACACTTAGCAAAGAAAATGCTTACCAGTATTAAGCAAAAACTCAGGGTCAGCCGGCTGGATTTTAACACACTCTAAGTGAAAAAGTTCATTGCACTAAGCACACTGCACTTTTGGTTGCGACCGCTCAACTTTATTGGCACAAATTCACGACATTTTCATAGGCAGATAATAGCAGGAAATATGAAGGATTAGAGTCACTTAGTTTAAGGAAAAGTTATCAAGTTTATGTTTACACCAGTGGCGTAGCCAGGGGGGGATTTGGGAGGATAGATCCTCCCCCTTCGTTAGCGTAATGAAATTTTTTTTTTTGAATTAATAACACAATACTGTTTTACCCTTCCGAAATACACTAGGCCATTTTGCTTAGTTCCCCACAGTGTTGGGAACAAATCTATAATCTATACAAAAACTGCACTTTTCGACTGTAAATTGTATCGACTTTTTAATTTTCTCATATGTATGCATGCATAGATTCCCTTCAAGACCAATGATTTGATAGTATTCACGGGAAATTTTATGTAGGTACATTTACATATTTTACACTTTTAACATAAATGTCAAGGCAGATATTTTAAGATACACTTCTTAAAAAACAAATTTTTTAAGTTATTATGAATGGATAAAAGGGACATCTTCTTTGAATTCAGAACTAAAACTTGACATTTCAAGTGCTTATCAAAACTTTATACATGCTAACTAGATTCGCCATTTATCTTAAAATTATATAATTTTAATTATTTGTTTATAAAAATGCTGTTTACACTTTAACAAAGCCCGTATAAATCCAAAGTTTAATCTCTGCGCAACATTAAAAAAATCAACAAACTTTCGTAAAGGTTTTTAATTAGATTTCCTAGAAATACATATTTTGAGTATGCAGTTTTGTAGCCCGATCAATTCAAATAAAGCGCAAGTTTAAAATACATAGCTGCGACTTTTAGTTGATTTTTAATATTTTTTTTTATGAAGGCGTTGCTCATTTTCTTCATTAAAAAAATCGTCGTACATACTTAG